CTAGTATTTTCAAACAGCCAAATCTTAAGTGTCAACCGAATTGAACCCGAAAACCGCTAATGCTTCGTCCCTTTCATTTCCACACGAAACTATCGTGAGCCCCGTCTCTTTCTTACGCCGCCGGAAATGAGATCTCAAAGATGGCTGCGGCCGGATGTGGGAGGGGCTTTTGATTTATAGTAGGTGGGGTTCTGAACTATCTCACTATAGAATTAAGGAATGTTCAGAATTTAGTGAGGTTCGATTTTCGGATAGTGAATTGAACGGGAGTGACTGAATCAAATAGATTATATCATTTTTTTTACTTTACTTTAACTTTTATACCAAAAGAAAAAGATTTAATTTTCTAAAGTTACTTAATGTTTTACTGGTGGTAGGACCTCTAGTGAGTCCGCGCGGGTAGGTACCACCATCCTGCCTATTTCTACCGTGAAGCAGTAATGCGTTTCGGTTTGAAGGGTGGGGCAGCCGTTGTAACTATACCTGAGACCTTAGAACTTACATCTCAAGGTGGGTGGCGCATTTACGTCATAGATGTCTATGGGCTCCAGTAACCACTTAACACCAGGTGGGCTGTGAGCTCGTCCACCCATCTAAGCAATAAAAAAAAAAGTTAATCGTAATTAATTTTTTTCGTTTTTTTTATTGCCTTTGTAGGCAGATGAGCGTACAACCCACCTGATGGTGAGTGTTTACCGTCGCCCATGGACGTCAGCAATGCCCGGGACAGAGCCAAGCCGCTGCCTACCGTTATATTGGTGCCTTCGAGTGGCGCACGTAATTAAAACTATTTTTAACGGTTTGTCTGTTTAGAGATTACGTGACCACGCAAACCGTAACGTAGCTATTCGAATCATTTACGTCTGCCGTAGACTCGAACATACGTACTGTTATAATATCCGATTACAACATGGTTAGTATAAAGTAAACTGCTGACCTAGCCTCAGTTGTTTACTTCGTTTCTAAGTAATGACACAAATCAAAAGCTTCGTCAGCATTTCCGTTACCACAGAAAGCAGATCGGTTTGAAACCTCGTCGTGGACACTTATCTAAAACGTGTATTTTCATATAATAAAATTACATTTTTCAGTGTCTGTAAAAAGTTTTTTTTTTAAAAAGTCTCCATCATCCCACATCGTAACAGTACCCATCACATCGGCACGCGACAATGCGAATGATTGGTCGTCGCCTACCAACTTCAAGTTTCGTCTATTACTGGTGAAGACGTCTTGTGTGTCCGCACGGGTAGGTACCACCACCTCGTCTATTTCTGCCATGAAGCAGTAATGCGTTTCGGTTTGAAGGGCGGGGCAGCCGTTGTACTGTTAAAAGTGAGACCTTAGAATTCAGTACGGGTGGCGGCATTTGCGTTGTAGTTGTCTATGGGCTCCGTTAACCAATTAGCACCAGGTGGACCATGAGCTTGTTCAGCCATTTAAGCAATAAAAAAACCCTTTTAGCTTCACTGACTTCAAAAAAGACGGAGGTTCTTATAACACGATATTTTTTGTTACCTCTGAACTATTTTTAGGTGAATTTTGATGATTGTTTTATTATTCGAAAGCTAGTGCTTCGTAGTAATATTATACCATTTAAACATTATCAAGGTCTGACCAGTAGTTTTTGAGTTCTCCTTAATAATGTAGATTCTAATATTTTAATTTTACTTCGACTGCATTGATTATAATTTCTTTTGTTTTTTTTGGATAAAGTCAGATTTGTTTTTTGTTGTTGTGTGTTTTTGCCTTGACAAGATCCGCCAATTAGAGGTTTTAACTACCTAACTTTTTAACCAATAAAAAATCATTCTAATATTTTCGTTCCTTGTAAAGACATTTAAATCACACCATGAAATCCTCAATTACGACGAGCGAACTAACCCATAGACACACCTCACTTTACCCCAGCTTAGAGTGGTAGATTCTGCCAACCAACGCTCTTTCTAGAGCCAATGCTAGTCGTGGATAATGACTTTCCAAGATTCCGTCACATACAAAGAAAGCGCGCTAATAAAAACGGTTCAAAAAGAAACCACGTAACTCCGATCGCACTTCCTACTACAAATAAGGCCGAACGGGTTTGTACCTTCATGCCTTCGGTCGCGAAGTAGTCACACCACATATGTACATATTAATATCGACTTTATTTCCTCTTTGTTCTTTGCAAACATAAATGATTATAAGCTACCATAATCTCGCTTTTACCATCGCACCGCCCGCCACCGCAGTAGAGTTCATCCATACTACTTGTAGCCACTTTTTTGCCACGTACCATCCGGCTTTGGAATGAGCTCCCCTCTACGGTATTTCCCGAGCGCTATGACATATCCTTCAAACGAGGCTTGTGGAGAGTATTAAGCGGTAGGCAGCGGCTCGGCTCTGCCCCTGGCATTGCTGAAGGCCATGGGCGACGGTAACCACTGACCTTCAGGTGGGCCGTATGTTCCTCTGCCTACAAGGGCAATAAAAAAAAAACATTTTTTTAATATCCGCGCGCTCTGGTGCAGAATACAATAAGAAACAGCGTCGTATCTGCACGTAGAGTTTAATGGTATACGCGGTTCGAAGTCGGGTGAGGCAATAAAATCAAATGGGAGCCCCCACACTCCGAGGGGTGTTTGGGCGGGACTTGTAACAGGTCATGTGACATTTTTATACCCCTGAAATTGTCGGGAGGAAATTTCAAATGTATTTTTCTTTTTATTTCACGTATGAAAAAAAAGGAAGCGAATAATTCAATGATGCGACTTACACGTTTTTTATCTTCCGAGTANGAAGTCGGGCGAGGCAATAAAATCAAATGGGAGCCCCCACACTCCGAGGGGTGTTTGGGCGGGACTTGTAACAGGTCATGTGACATTTTTATACCCCTGAAATTGTCGGGAGGAAATTTCAAATGTATTTTTCTTTTTATTTCACGTATGAAAAAAAAGGAAGCGAATAATTCAATGATGCGACTTACACGTTTTTTATCTTCCGAGTAATCGCTTACAATATTTAAGTTTGTTTAGTTGTTATCTATATATTAATACGTGAAGCAAAAAAATTGTATCCCTTTTTACGAAAATTGCGCGGACGGAGGAGTATGAAATTTCCCACACTTATAGAGATTATAGAGAAGGAGTGCAGAATGTTAATATTTTCTTAAATTATGCATAAAAAATACATTAAATCAATAAAAAAAAACATTACACACACTACCGTGTATTCGACACACACACGCATGCATAATATTTGTTTATTGTCAAACTTTTCTTATTTAAAGTCTGTGGTAAAATTGACAATAGATTAATATTTTGTTGTTTTTTATTAATATTTGTCTAAAGTGTAGTCTTGGCGAAATCTGTGATTATAGAAGTAAAATAGTCTTTGAAAATAGAATCATAATAGTGTACAAACTTACAATTTCAATTAACTATAGTCGAATTTCGACTACTGCGGGACCTCTAGTTAAAGATTAATCGTAACGTTATTAAAGAGGGATCTTTAAAAATAATATATCGTAGCATGAAAAATATACAAACGGAATTAATGTACCTAATTGAAATTAATGAAAAACTGTTTATATCGATTTAATAATGTGATGCAAGCTAATCTTAATTGTTAATACAATTTGCATTATAATTGGATTGTTTAATTCAGTATTGACGCTTACGTTTTTTTTATTGCTTAGATGGGTAGACGAGCTCACTGCCCACTTGGTGTTAAGTGGTTACTGGAGCCCATAGACATCTACTTCGTAAATGCGCCACCCACCTTGAGATATAACTTCTAAGGTCTCAAGTATAGTTACAACGGCTGTCCAACCCTTCAAACCAAAACGCATTACTGCTTCACGGTAGAAGTAGACAGGGTGGTGGTAACTACCCGCGCGGACTCACAAGAGGTCCTACCACCAGTGGTACGTCGACACCCCTAAAGCGGTATCGGAGTGGTGTCATCATCAGGCCTTATGCACTCACCATACCGTGGTGCCTATTTCCTGGACTTAGCCCACTGAGTTTCTCGGTGGATCTTCTCAGTGGGTCGCGTTTCCGATCCGCTGGTAGATTCTGCGAAGCACTGCTCTTGCTAGGGTCAGTATTAGCAACACTTCCGGTTTGTATCCCGTCCTACATGTTAGGGCGAAGCTAAAATAGCCTCTCAAGGCTATCGGCATAGGTAGGAGAAAAAAAAAGTAGATTTTTGCATCATCGACGTGTCGATCGGATTTCTAAGTTACACCCCCAAAAGCCTTTTAAGCTTCGCGGCCTAAAAATTAAGACGTCCCGTGTACTCGTGTCGAGCGATGCGACCGTGCCGGTATTCGAATCCCGCATAATAAAATGACTTCCACGGTGAAGGAATAACGTCGTGTAATAAAAATCAAATTCATATAAATTATAATTAGCGTATTTATTGGTGGTAAGGCGTCTTCAGACTAATTGCCTACGAATCAAATCCGCAAAATTATAATTTGCGTAATTACTAGTGGTAGGACCTCTTGTGAGTCCGCACGGGTAGGCACCACCACCCTGCCTATTCCTGCCGTAAAGCAGTAATGTGTTTCGGTTTGAATGGTGTGGAAGCCGTTGTAACTATACTGAGACCTTAGACCTCATATCTCAAGGTTTACGCATTTACGCTGTGGACGTCTAAGGGCTCCAGTAACCACTTAACAGCAGGTGGGCTGTGAGTGTACCCAACTAAGCAATAAAGAAAAACAAAAAAACCTAAACATCAGCCCGCTGAGTTTCTCGCCGGTACTTCTCAGCGGATCCCGATTCCGATCCGGTAGTAGATTCATTCGCGAAGCAGTTACTCTTGAGTTGTTAGGCTTTGAAGGCGCTCGGGTAGCTGTTAGCAAATCCCACCCCTCCTGGTTGAGCCTCTACTCGCCCACCTGTCCTGGTTAAACTGGACGGAGTACGGTAAAGCTTCGTCAATGTCTGAATAGTTTTAAATGTCTTAATTTCACGTTGTATCTCTAGCCGTTTATTAACTCGGACGCTTTGTTGTAGCCGTGCAAAATGAAAGGCAGCCCAGGAATACCGCGACCATTCGGCCTGAAGCTCTGCGGGAGATGGACCAGGAAAGAGCCCTGCGGGAAGCGGCGGTGGCTGTGGGCGTTTTCGGGTGAGCCCTCCTCAATTCAATGTCTCAAGTAGATAATACAGCGGGTAGCAACCGCAAGAGACAAGATACGAAGTCGTCGTGGCCTAAAGGATAAGACGGCCGGTGCGAATGCACAAACACATTACTGCTTCACGGCAGAAATAGGCAGAGTGGTGGTACCTACCCGTGAGGATTCACAAGACATCCTACCACCAGTAAAAATCTTCGAATGAGGATTTGTTTTAGTTTAAATTTGCTATTAACAGCCCGTTTTAATGGAACACGAATGAAAGGAGAGCCTTTAAAACACAATGGCGCTGAAAAACGTAGGCACTAAAGTTTGAAACTAAGCGAGCGTAAGCGTTGCCTTGTTGACGCGTCGTCGCACATTGGCGCGACAAAAGAATATACCCTTTTGAAGTATACAGTCTGTGTAGATGCTGTGAAGAAACATTTATGTGCCATATCTCGTAGTACACAAAGAACGCGGCGAGTTTCCGGGAGAAAAGTCAAAGGATGGTTCGCGCGCGTTTCTAAATTCGAAATTCGAATTATGAAATTCTAGAACGCGATTCTAGAAGGGTCTATGACATGTCCTTCTTTAAAAGAGGCTTGTGGAGAGTATTAAGCGGTAGGCTGTGGGCTAGCTCTGCCCCTGGCATTGCTGAGGTCCATGGGCGACGGTAACCACTCACCATCAGGTGGGCCATATGCTCGCTTGCCTACAAGGCCAATAAAAAAAGAGTTTTTTTTCTTTTGGGACCATCAAACTGCCTTGGGTCTGGCTGCTTTGCTTCGCGGTAGAATACAGAATTGTACTACCTATTCTATTCTATTTTATTCTATTAGCCCACAGACGTCCACTGCTGGACATAGACCTCTCCCAAGTCTCACCACAAAGATAGGTACTGGGCTGCTTGCATCCAGTGGATAGCCGCAAACCTCAATAGATCGTCGGTTCATCTCCCTACCTACTTTGTATTACCTAATGACGCCTGATAACTAATACGCATATCCGTAAAAAAAATACGGCTACAACAAGAGCAAAAGCAAATCAGGTGTTGATATGTGGACTTTGTTGATGTGTACACTAGAATGGGCAGTCAAATGGAGTGGCTCAAAGGCTGGCAGGTCGCGGGCCTAATGATCCGGTACAACCTTTGATCGCATTACTCTGGCCCTCGGTTTGATCTGGGCTGTATGACGTCGAAGTCGTTGCTATTTAAAGCACGATGCTAATGTCGTTTATACGTTATCGTGTTCTTTATACAAATGAAATAAATTAAAATTAGGACTCTTTGGCGGGAACGCGAGGAGCGAAGTTGTGTGATTTTTTTTTAATTTTGTCTATTTAGTGTTTCGTCAGGTTTAAATGATGAATGGTGGTTTATTAATTGTTTAATATCTGTAAAAGTTCACAAATGTGGGAAAATGAAACAAAACCGCTGGACGTAACTTCTCGAGATCCTCCAAAAAGTCCACTGAAAAAATCACAGTAGGTAAATGACCACCATTTTACTGAAATTATATTTCATCCTATATCATTTCATCTCATTTCATTTCATTTCATCCCAGTTGATTAATCATCTTCATTTCATCTCATTTCACTCCATATTATCATTTTTCATAAAAATAAGAATATGAATTAAAATAAGACATAACTTAAAGGTCTTAGTTACCAGGTCATAAAATCCCTTAAAAAAAATCAACCGTGAATTTTTTGATGAAATGAAATGAAGATGATTAATTTGAGACATTATTCAACTGGGATGAAATTAAATGAAATGGGATGAAATGTAATCTCAGTAAAATGGTGGTCATTTATTGAGATTTTTTCAGTGGACTTTTGGAGGATCCCAAGAAGTTACATCCACCGTTTAATAAGTTACATACAGGTCCCGAGAAGTTACATACAGGTTAATAAACCACCGTTATTACACATTAAAACCTGAAGAAACACTAAACAGACAAAATAAAGCAAATCACACAACTTCACTCCAGGCGTTCCCGCCAAAAATTCCTCACGGTTGATTCGATTAAACACTCGCACAGATTATTCAGAATGCGTTATTGGCTCCATCTATTATTCATTATTCGAACTAGCGCCAGAACTAGCCGCGCACAAATATTTGAGAGTCAAATAATCCAATCCAGTGATAGTGTTGAACGTTGTCTCACTAAATCATATGTGTAGTTAATGCTAATGTAATATTATGCGAGTGATATTCCAATGGGGTCCGGTTATGGGGGAGAAAGTGATGTGTTTTTCACGTCCAATCTCTTTGGGAACAAAAATAATGCCGGTATAGTATTGTTTTTTTTCTGTAGCAATAGAAATATGAGAGAGACTATCGAAACAGCATTTATTCTTCGAATTTAATTATCGTATATTTTTTATTTGAATCGATTTAGATCAAGTCGATAAGTGCGTCGAAATTTGAGCTTTACGTATAACCGCAATATGATATATTTTTGTTTTATGGCTTAGATGGTTGGACGAGCTCACAGCCTACCTGGTGTCAAGTAGTTACCGGAGCCCATAGACATCTACAACGTAAATGCGCCTTCCACCTTGAGATATAAGTTCTTAAGTATAGTTAAAACGGATACGCCACCCTTGAAACCGAAACGCATTGCTGCTTCACGGCAGAAATAGGCGCGGTGGTGGTACCTACCCGCGCGGACTCATAAGAGGTCCTACTACCAGTAATTACGCAGATAATAATTTTATTACACGATGTTATTCCTTCACCGTGGAAGTGAATCGTGAACATTTGTTAAGTACGTATTTCATTACAAAAATTGGTACCCGCCGGCGGGATTCGAACACCGGTATATCGCTAGATACGAATGCAACGTCTTATCCTTTAGACTAGTTTAGACCATGACGACTTCAAAATTTCAAAACTTTTTATTGAATAGACCCCCTGTATCCCTGGCGATGGCGTTGTCACCGGCGCGCTACCCACTGCTGTCGCCACCCTACGCGCCGCCCCAGCCGCCGGCGCAGCCCGACTCCTCGAGGGACCACGACGACAGAGCACACACCGATAGTGACGGTAAGATATTGTTACGCTGGTAACAGCAACGCATCTATCGCCGAATAGTCAAACGAATATCGAAAAATCTAGTAACATCTAGAGCGTGCGAGAAGTACAAGGCCATCTATTGTCAGATAGCGGAAACACAATAATAGAAACGTGTGGAATATTCTCGACGATTCCAGGGATTTCGTCTCGACTATAAAAGCGTTGCAGAGATTGCACGCAGTCAGTTAGTAATCGGATCTACTCGAAGCGGAAGAAGTGAATTGAGAATTTTAAAGTGTTTTAAGTGTTCTAAATGTTGAATACAGTTTTTAAGTTGTATTCCGGTAGAATTTTTATTTATCCCGAACCCCAGCGCGTAACAATATTACAGTCAAGGACACACACACACACACACACACAGCACATTTTATTTGTCGAAGAACAGTTTTTTTTTCTATCTAAGCTCCTAAGGGCCTTGAGACGCTCAGCGTAACCCTAAGAAGTAGGTGAGCTCACGGGGCTCAAACCTGACGACGTTGCTAACACTAGCCCTAGCAAGGGCAGTGCTTCGCAGAATCTACCATCGGGTCGGAATCCCGACCCGCTGAAAAGATCTCGCGAAAAACTCAGTGGGCTGTGTCTGTGGGTTAATTTACTCGCCGAGCCCTTCGTCGCAAGCGACGAATTCGACGAGAACGATGACCGGTGCTTGANAGGTGAGCTCACGGGGCTCAAACCTGACGACGTTGCTAACACTAGCCCTAGCAAGGGCAGTGCTTCGCAGAATCTACCATCGGGTCGGAATCCCGACCCGCTGAAAAGATCTCGCGAAAAACTCAGTGGGCTGTGTCTGTGGGTTAATTTACTCGCCGAGCCCTTCGTCGCAAGCGACGAATTCGACGAGAACGATGACCGGTGCTTGAATTACCTAAAAGTACTGTTAGTGGATCTGGAGGATCCGAAATGACGTGTAGAAAAAGATCAGTGCGCTTAGTGCGAGGTTTAACGTTCTCGATAGCGTAAAAGTTAACTCACTTTCGTATGGAGTTGGAAATTTTGTCTACGTTTGCCGCTAGGGGCGCTGTTACAACTGCAGACAAATTTTAGTTAACTTTTACGCTATCGAGAACGTTAAAACACTCGCACTAAGCACACAGCATTCTTGAATTTTAAAAACCCTTTTAGTAATAATGATTAGCCCCTGCCCAATCCACATACTCAAAGTACCAGTAAAAGTGAGTCCTTCGCATCTACTATTGTTAATGCAACAGCATGCCCACAGGTTCTGGTTCATCGAATAGCCACAATATGCTGCGTATAGTATCTAATTGTATTGTCTAATGCTAGTACCTGATAGCTATCCACACAGCCGAGGATAGGCAGGAGTGGCGCAGTGGAGAAAGTTATTAGAAAAAGGCACGACCTTCAGCATTGAGGGAGAGAGGAGTATCTGATGCTCGTTTATAATAAAATCTTAACAACGGACATTCTTCTATATTCATCTCTTTCTTAGACTAAATGAAATTGAAGTTATTATTATTATTTTTATTGCCTAGATGTGTGGACGAGCTCACAGCCCACCTAGTATTAAGTGATCACTGGAGCCCATAGATATCTACAACGTAAATGCGCTCCTTGAGATACAAGTTCTAAGGTCTCATTATAGTTAAACCGGCTACCCCACCCTTCAAACCGAAACACATTGCTGCTTCACGGTAGAAATAGGCGGGGTGGTGGTACCTACCCGTGCGGACTCACAAGAGGTCCTAACCACCAATAAAAAAGTTTTTATTTTATTTCAGATGACAGCATTGATGTGACCAACGAAGAGGACTCGACTTCTTACTCACCACCAGCTCTGACCTATGGACAGAACTGCGCTCCGTATAGGTGTGTATGTCTACAGAGCCACATCTGCTTGTGGGTCTGGTCAGGCTACTAAGGAGTTTATCGAAGGGCAGTAGCGTACTCTGAGTATTACCGCATTGCGACCGACAACCAGAATTTATGGGCTCACTTATGATGACTTTGGCCTGATGTTTTGAGATGGGTGGAGGCTTTCACGCTGTGATTACACGGGTTCCAGAGTTAAGCCAACAGTGAACAGGAGACAACCTTCAGTGTTATGGATTGTCTCTATTGTATAGTAATTACGCAAGGTTTTTATTGCACGACCTTATTACTTCATCGTGGAAGTAACACATGAAAATGTGTTAAATATTTATATCATTAGAAAAATTGGTAGCTGCCTGCGGGATTCGAGCACCGGCACAGTAGCATCGCTCAATATGAATGCACCGGACGTCTTATCCTTTAGGCTACGACGACTCCAAATAAAGCAAATGGATCCTTATACTTATATAAGCGGTTCAATTCTCAGTCGTATTACAACTGATCGCATTAAACAAAGTTTTTCCTTTCTTTTTTATTGCATAGATGTGTGGACGAGCTCACAGCCCACCTAGTGTTAAATTGTTACCGGAGCCCATAGAAATCTACAACGTAAATGCCGCCACCTTGAGATATGAGTTCTAAGGTCTCAGTATAGTTACAACGGCTGCTCCACCCTTCAAACCGAAACGCATTATGCTTCACGGCAGAAATAGGCAGGGTGGTGGTACCTACCCGTGCGGACTCACACGAGGTCGTACCACCAGTAAATTTCCTGAAATCGAGAGAAAATGTTGTACAGCCTCCAGTCTAAACTGTCTAATATAATAGTCGGGACATGTCTGTTTGTGTGTCAGGCCACTTGGCGTGGAGAGTGCAGCCGAGACGGCAGCCCGTCTCCTGTTCATGGCCGTGAAATGGGCCAAGAACCTACCTTCGTTCGCCAGCCTGGCCTTCAGAGATCAGGTACACTGGATTCCTTACTCGCGTCAGCCATGTGACGGCCAGCGACAAGGCTGGATATAGAATAATAAAATTTAAGATCCGTGATCCACACCGAGCTGTAGACCAACCACATTTGATTTTTAGTGAACATTAATTTCTTTATTTTTTTTATTTTTATTGTTGACTAGCTGATCTGGCAGACTACGTAGTGCCTCAATCGAGAAATAAAAGACCTAAACTTTTGTATAAAATAAACTTAATACAAACAAACGGAATCCGTCCGACGGGGGACACATCAAAGGAAAAACAAAATTGTTATTTTTATTTAATTCCGAGTATTTTCATATTTATCTATCTTTTAAACCATCTCTGGAGTTCCACAAACAATTCAAGACCAAAATTAGCCAAATCGATCCAGGCGTTCTCGAGTTTTAGCGAGACTAACGAACAGCAATCCATTTTTATATATATAAATTTTTTTTTGTAAGTTTTTATATGCATTTTTTTTTCTTTTTTCTGTGTCTTAGTTTTAATATTAGTTAACGATATTTTTATCTTAAGCACAAACACTCTTAAGCAAGATGTGTTCACACCCAAAAGGGTGAATTCTATAATGTATCATTTTATTTACATAAATTCATTGTTTGTGTGTGCAGATTTTATCCAGATGTATGAATCTAATAAAAAAAATTAAAAAAATTAGTGACTCGCAATAACAACATGGCGTGGTCTACACATTTTGTTCCGGATATCATTTACGTTGCGATGTCTGTAGCATACGTTTGAGCTTGCATCAAAGAGAAAACCCTTTATTTTACGAGTACGTGGCTTCGTAGACTAAACCAGCGGCTCTCAATCTTTTTTTTAATCAGTCACGTACCTACTAATATACTCTTTACAAATACGCGACAATCTTACATATTTACACGTAAAACGTTGTAGATACACGTAGTAATACATCCTTTGTAAGTTAAACGTAGGTACTTGTCTAGTTAACATCTAGTGAATAGTTGAATATTTACTCCAAATGTACCCTAGAGCTATGATTCTGCCGGGTCGCTTTAAAAAATATCGAAGGTACTTTTTTTATTGCCCTTAGCCTACAAGCTCGACGTACGACCCACCTGATGGTAAGTGGTTACCATCGCTCATGGACGTCAGCAATGCCGGGGGCAGAGCCAAGCCGCTGCCTACCGCTAAACCGTACCGTACTTGTAAAACTCACGGCTTATTTGACAGGAGCTTGCTTCTGGTTATAATAGGTTGGGGAACAAGTTTCTTCGCATTTTTTAAGAAAATTCACAACATTGTTTAATATTGTTTATTTACATTTAACTAAAGTATGTAGGTACCATTTTGTTCGATAACTTTTGGCCATCTTGTAGGTAGGGATATTATCCCATTGCTATAGAAATTTTGGGTATTCTGATCAAAATACCGCGACAATTGGTTTTGGCAGTCCTGTCGTGATGTCAACTCTCACTTGACAGTACGAAAAATAAATAAAAATCACACATTTTCCTAATTTGAATTATCTTCTTTTAAAATTTTAACTTTTAATGATACCAAAACCAGTCAGATACAAATAGTATAGCCAAAGAGATTTTATTACAAGTTCATACATACTATAATGCGAAAAGACTTTTTCCCAAATTTATCATGTCAACGCTGCGGTTGAGAGTCGCTGGCCTAGAGACGTCATACTTGTCACTTTTGAATATCCTTCTCGTTCTGTCCCGAGCAGTCCCGAGTTTGGCGAGAGAGAGCAGTCTTTAAAGAAATAAGTACAGTTGTTTTCTTTTTTTTGTGTGTGTATATAAAGGATGGTATGATCAGGTAATTCTGCTGGAGGAGTCGTGGTCGGAGCTATTCCTTCTGAACGCCATCCAGTGGTGTCTGCCGCTCGACGCCGCCTGCACGGCCCTCTTCGGGAACGATCAGCTCGATCAAGGTATTATCTGTTATATTAAAACTTTGTACCCTTTTTGGAACGAAGCTTCTTATAGGACGATGCGGAGGGGTACCCTAACTGGGAAAAAACGTTCGTAACGTAAGATTTTTATTAGTAATGCACACAGTGTACGACGTAACTTTGTAATAACGTAAAAAAAAAAACATATTTGAAGTTATACTTCTTTAGGCGCGTTATGAAAAATTGATGAGAGTGAAATTTTACGATGCGCGCGCACCGTGACACAAAATTAACAGAATGAAGTTGCCCACTTAATCGCTCATTACAATACTACCGACGTAACTTGGCGAGTCTGAATATAGCCGCAGGTGAACTTTCGCGCATATACACTCGTAAAAAAATGTGTTATTAGCATTCATTTTTTAACCTTAAATATTTATTAATAATTACTTAATATTAAAAAAAAAAAGAAATAAATTTAATAAAAATAAAGTATAACTTCTTGCGCGCGTACAAAAGTACACGCACCCTTTTTTTCTTTTCATTCATTAACCAAGATCTCAGCGCGTTCGTTTGCGCAATACACTAACTCTTATGCAAACAACCGTGAATGAAGTGTACCACAATAAGTTCGCACGTTACCGAATGACCGTGGGTTGTTGCGAAACCTCCAGTTTTATTTTATTTATACCTCGAATAGAACTTAAAATTAATATTTTTATAATCTTCGAACTTCGTTCCTATCCGGTGTCCCACAACAGCACACATCTTTTTTTACGAAAATTTCGTGGGGGGAGGAGTATGAAATTTCCCTACATTTAGTTTGTTGTTGTCCCGTGTCGCAGAGGGCGGGGGCTCGTCGGCGGCGCTGCGGCGGCTGCGCGAGGTGCTGTCCCGGTACCGCGCCGTGTTCGTAGACCCGGCGGAGTTCGCCTGCATGAAGGCCATCGTGCTCTTCAAGTCAGGTAGGGGCGTTTACACAGCGCGTCACACTTGTCGCTATCAGCGATGGGTTTCTTGAGGAAGGAACTTTTTGTAGTCGTCGTGGCCTAAGGAATAAGACGTCCGGTGCATTCGTGTGAAATACGTACTTAACAAATGTTCACGATTGACTTCCACGGCGAAAGAATAACATCGTGTAATAAAAATCAAACCCGCAAAATTACAATTTGCGTAATTACTGGTGGTAGGGTGTCTTGTGGTCCGCGCGGGTAGGTACCACCGCCCTGCTTATTTCTGCCGTGAAGCAGTAACCCGTTTCGGTTTGAAAAAAAAAAGCGTGGAGTGCACGGTATCAGTAGTTATAAATATTTTATGAACAGATGTAGAAGGGTCATTTTGATGATATCCTGAAAAGTACCCCACGCTTTTTTACAATAATATCATTTTTTCTTACACTATTTTTAATTCAAGTATATTAAAATTTATTTTCTATTTTTTATTTGGATTTTCTATAAAAGGGTATTTTGTTAGTTTTTTTAAACTATTATTTATTTTTCATTTATTAGTTGAATTTCAATTTTTACAATTTTTTTTTTAATTTATTTTTAATATTGTATCGTCATCGGTCCTTAATAAGTATACCAAATTTCAGGTTAATCCGACGTTTTGAAGGGGCTCAAAATCATGTTCAAAGATTCCATTACACACATACATACTGAAGCTAACAAAAGTGTACTACAAAAAAAAAAAAATACAGTCGAATTGAGAACCTCTTCCTATTTTGAAGTCAGCTAATAATTAAATTTGATTTGCAGAAACGCGCGGTCTCAAAGACCCTCTCCAGATCGAGAACCTGCAAGACCAAGCGCAGGTGATGCTGATGACGCACGCGCGGACGGCCCACGGCGCGGCCCCCGCCAGGTTCGGTCGCCTGCTACTGCTGCTGCCGCTGCTACGCATGGTCGCGCCCTCGCAGCTCGAACGAGAATTCTTCTCGAAAACGATAGGGCAAACACCTATGGAAAAGGTACTGGCCGATATGTATCGAAATTGATGAAACTGTAGAACAGCGCCATCCATGTTCGGCGGAGAGAAGCAGCGGCGTTTGTACGCCATCTATGTGAATCGAGAGTGCCATTGTGTTTACAATAGCACCATCTATGTTTGGCGGAGAGAAGCAGCGGCTTTTGTCAAGAAATCGGTTCAGGAGTACGCCGTCTATGTGAATCGAAAGTGCCATTTGTGTTTGCAACAGCGCCATCTATGTTTCTTAATAAGAAATATTTGTTACTTAAAGTGAAACCTGAAGGTTTACCTTTAATTTAAATGTAACTTAAATTACTTAAATAGAATATGAACATTACAATACATGCTAACGTTATTTAGTATTACGTGTTTATTTATTACTATACTTTTCGATCTTAGATAAGAATAACTAAATACCTATAAGTAGCAGCTTATTACATTTTGTTAAATTTAATGTAAGTACCCGTAATTAGTGTGGTGCGTCGTTGTTAAATAATATTTAAAAAATAAGGCTTACTTATGTTAATTTGTCAGTCAGTAGGACAATGTAAATAACTAATTCTAAATTAATTCTCGTTTCACGTAACGTTGGGTTGTTCCGGCTTTGATAAAGATCTGATTTATTCATGTTTTAACACGGTGGCTCCATATAGTGAGCCGGGCAAGTTCTTCAATACTGTGTACAAATAACATAACTTATCAGTAATTTTGTCACACATGTCCTAAAGTTAACCACGTTCTAGTCATTAAGGTGTATAAGCTGTGAATCGATTATTAGTTTAAAACAAAATACGGCCTATAGTTTTATTTCGAATATTTTTATCAATTAATTTAGTAATAATAATTTTTTTATAACTGGATCTTAACACCCGTTTTTTACTGGTAATATTATTTAATATTTTACATCAAAGAATGTGCTTAGGGTAGATTATTCTTCTAGAAAACTCCGTCATATTGCAACTAATGCTGTTAGCCGCGTTTTGTGACGGATGTTTCATAAACCAGTCCTACTCTACCCTTCACAGACTAATTAATGCTGCTTTTATGGTTTATTATTTTAATTTTATCATTTTCAATATTTCGTAGACATTTGAATATTTATATACGGTAATACAGTAGTTGGCACCGTCTAAATTGACTGTAAAAAATACTTCTTGACACTGAAGTTTTATTTCACATGGAAATAACTAACAGTATCTTGAGGTCTAGTGGCTTGATTAAGTGTTCATCTTCAGGAGAAGAGTGCCAGCCATCACCACAGTTGAACATTTATGTATTATATATACGACTTTTGTCCATTCCTTGTTTGCTTTAATTAAAATATAAGTAGTAAGTACGTTTATAATTATAATGTATCTGAAGGTTAAGTTAAGGCAAGAAATAGTATGTGTAAAAAAAACTTAAATATTCTAGTTATCTCAGATTAATGATGAAGTATTGATTTAGTATTAAGTTTAATGTTTTTAATTAGTAAGAATACTGCCATGTTTAACAAAAAGAAAAGCTGTAATGTAAAATATTATGATGGAATAAATGTCGTGAATTCTAGATTTTAGTTTTTTTGAACTGTACCCTTCATGTGAATAATGCCCTAAACACGTCATTACGGATCCTCCCGACCTATTAACGGTGCTTATAAGTACCTCAAGCACCGGTCATCGTCTTCACCGAACCCGTCGCTTGCTACGAAGAGCTCGACAAGTGAATTAACCCGTAGACACAGCCCACTGAGTTTCTCGCCGGATCTTCTCAGTGGGTCGCGTTTCCGATCCGGCGGTAGATTCTGCGAAGCACGGCTCTTGCTAGGGCCAGTATTAGCAACACTCCTGGTTTGAGCCCCGTGAGCTCACCTACTAGCTCGGTGAATCTAGAATAACTCCTCAAGGTTACTAGAATAGGTAGGGAAAAAAAGAAGTTGATAGTACACGATCCACACGCAACACTGCCGCCTAGAGACAAGACTCGAGTGAAAAATGTGGAGAAAATAGTAAACAGCGCCATCTATATTTTACAGGGCACAATGAGTTTCACGAATTTTCCTCAATCACTTTCTTGTAATTAATAAAAGATGGCGCTTATTAGAAATACTATGAAAATAAAAAATCTGAATTTCGTCATGTACACGGACTGCCGTCATTCACATTGAGTCATGAGTAACTACTGAGCTTCAATTGAACTGATATTTCCATTCTATCCTTCAACTGTAAGCCCGTCATTGCTCTGCGGCACCCGAGCATACAGCTCACCTGATGGTGAGTGGTTACCGTCGCCCATGGACGTCAGCAATGCTGGGCGCAGAGCCAAGCCGATGCCTACCGTTAAGTACTTCACAGGCCTCGCTTGAAGAAGTACATGTCATAGCGCTCAGGAAACACCGTAGAGGGGAGCTCATTCCACAGCCATTCCATTCTTTTTCAATGTTTATTAAAATTGAAAAAAAAATCCACATTATCATTTACATGCTTTATTTAAATTATTTCAATTATTATTCTACGTAGATTGTCAATTATCATACATTATATTGTTGTTGGCAATATTGCGGGCTAATTAAAAATCACTAATTATGACTTCGTTTCAATCAGATGACCAATGACAGATTTAATATGATTTCACGGTAGAACAGAAATATTCCTCTTATACCTAGTTCGAAGAAATACATGTCATGAAGTCTCGTAAATGTCTTTATTTTTTCTCTATTTCATTGATGAAGATTTATTATCCTATTGCTATATTTTAACATTTAAATTAGCTAATAAGAATATTCGCAATGCATCAAATATTTTATAAATTTCCGTTTCCAATGATTATACAAAAAACTCCAAGTCTGGCAGCACCGGAGAAATCCTTACCACAACGAAATCTGACGTTTCGCCAACTGACATTTCTAGCGTTGACGTTGACAGATGACAGATTTGACGTTTCAGTGTGACCACAAAGCGACCTCGTTTCGCGCATTATTCAAGCACACAACGAAACATTAGGCACTTCTTTAGTTGCGTTCTGCACTCGCTGAAGTTATGCGTATTTCATTGTTTTAATATACGATAGTGTAGCGTGAACTCCACGTTGGACTTCCAAATGAAATGGCGGACCGTTCTTAGGTCCATATTTGGGTCCAGGACCTGAAAATTATCATTCGAGAATGTTATTTTTGTGTTTTGTGTTCGGATGTTGACCACTGACCGAACGCTAAGTGGTATACCTCGGCATTCATTCAGACGGGAGGCACAAAACTGACTTCTTTCTTTTGTCTAGCAAATCGAGTCAACATAGAGGCTAATCCAACTACCCATTGTTAGCTAGGCGAGCTCACGTTATTCAACCTGGGAGAGTTGCTAACACTGGTCCTAGCAGGAGCAGTGCTTGGCTCAACCTACCACCGCATGGGAAAAGCGACCGTTATGTCTACGAGTTAGTTTGCAAAAAAAAAAGGGTTTCTGGCCGAAGTCCTCGTCGTATACGATGAGAACGAATGATCTAGTTCAAACGACAAGAACATACAGCTCATTGCGCAAAAATTACTTTTTACTAATACTCATTGATTTCATGGAATGTCATGTACCATTTTAAATTGACAAACCGGGGAAAACGACCTCCTGTGACACGCGGAAGCTACTTCTGGTTTCGTGTAATTGGATCTTTTTTATTTGACCCATCCAGGGGTGAACAAGCTCACATTTCACCTGGTATTAGTTGGTGAGCTACCTGGTATTAGATACCGATGTACCGATAGATATTGCGCAATACCGAAATCCGTAGAAGAATTGATTGGGACTGACATAGCCAAAGTGATTGCTCGGAGAAAGTGGAAGTGGGCCGGCTTGTAGGCAGACGAGCGCACGGCCCACCTGATGGTGAGTGGTTACCGTCACCCATGGACTTCAGCAACGCCAGGGGCAGAGCTAAGCCGCTGCCTACCGCTTAATACTCTCCACTAGGCTCGTTTGAAGAAGGACATGTCATAGCGCTTGGGAAGCACCGTGGAGGGGAGCTCATTCCATAGTCGGATGGTACGTGGCAAGAAAGACCTCTGGAAACAACTTACCTGATCGCAACACAGCAGCTCAACTTTTTCCTCAGGGGAGCCATCGTTTCCGCTGTCCTCATTAGCACTCCCCTTTCCGCTTCCCGCACTGGCCCCATTCACATCTCCACCGCCCACTATTTTTTCCACGACATGTTCGGCAATCTTGCGGCATTGTATGAAATCATTGGCAACCAGACGATCCTGCTTGGTAGTCGGTAAAGAAAATTTATGTTATTATTTCTCATATATCTTATGTGACCAGATACTGTGCAGAATATTATTGTTACGCCGGTAAGAGTAACGCCATCTATCGCCGAATAGTCGAACGAGTATCGAAGGATGTAATAGTATCTAGAGCGCTCGAGAAGTACAACGCCATCTATTGTCAGACAACGGAAACACACAGTACTCGACTTTTGTGGAATATTCTCAATGATTCTAGGGATTTCGTCTCGACTGTAAAATCGTTGCAGAGATGGCACGCAGTTAGTAATCGGAACTACACGAAGCGAAACAGCGAACGGATCACCTGAAGCGAAGCGGAAGAAGTGAATGGAGAATTTTAAAGCGTTTGTGAAGTGTTCTATGTGTTCTAAGTGCTAATACAGTGGTAACTTGTACTTCGGTAGATTTTTTATTTATCCCGAACCTCAGCGCATAGCATTAATATGTTAATTTACATGAGTTATCCATACATTGCTTAAGCTATTGCTAAGTGCTGCAAATATATTAAGCATAGTGAAAAATATAATCCACTTCCTTTTTATAACAAACTATATCTCGATGCCTCCAATGAACACTACTCAACTCAAAATTTTGAAATTTTCGTTTTTCACGCAAATCTCATCACTATTTTAAAATTATTACAAATTCATTATTAATGGGGTTCGAAGCAAGAGTAAATCAGCTAGTTACACAAGAAAAGGCAAAAATATATCTGCAATAATAAAGATTTTACCAGCTTTTTTCGTTTAAACGCTCTTCCTGTAAACTTACGAATTTGGAGTTAAGAGTAGTGTTCATTGGAGGCATCGATCTATACTAATATTATAAATAGGAAAGATTTGTTTGTTTGTTTGTATTGAATAGGCTCCGAAAGTACTGAACCGATTTGAAAAATTCTTTTACTGTTTGGAAGCTACACTATTCCCGTGTGACATAGGCTTATAATCTTTCTTGAAAAAAATTACGGATCCTTACTATAAAACTCCAATAATATAACCCAAGGTGTGAAAAAATTAACTAACATATTCTTAACATCGCGTGCTCTGCGAAAACTATTCATGATAGAATAAAATAATGTACTATGACTTTGTAGAACACATTATTATTCATAAAAATGTCGCGACAGCATATGTCTAACTATTATAGTTATGCCACAATAAGTGATCTATTATTTAAAAAAATAAAACAACGTCAAGTATCGTGTACAGGGAAGCTCTGACTCAATAAACTCAATGCCTTTTGTTTTGTATGTATTACATACTTAAACTCTTTAAAAAAATTAGAAAAATAACAAAAATAAATTAATAAAAAATAGATAAAAAAATATCATTTAAATGAAAATAAAAGTACATTAAAATCATAATATTCAAACTACCTTTATAATTTTCTTTTTTTGGTAATCTCACGCAAATAGAAGGGTTGATGTGTGTATTATAATTTTTTATTTTGAAATATTTGTTAAAGACCCGAGCGGAGTCGGAGCGGGCCGCTAGTAATTTATAAACATACAACTGAGTTCGTTGAACCAATGGATTTATATAATCATAAGATACTTTACAAGTTATCTGATTACGTTAGTGGTATCCACAGAAATGAGACATGACTGAATGATAATTAAAATTGAAAAGTATCTAAAAAATGTGTTTTCTCTTTACATATTACAATACGACCGACGTAACTTGGCGAGTCCGAACTTCGCGCAGAAGGCTGCGCACAAACGTTTTTAAGAACCAAATGGTGGTATGAGCAACGTGCGCGGGGCGGAGGTCTAGGCTAGGGATTGACTCTATGTAAACACAATCGTCCCTTTATTCAATCAAATATCACAATCGATTTTTATCGGTTTGGAATTTATTGNGCAAGCACGTGTTTTGTATTTACATAGGACTACACAGAATTACTTAAGGTAAATTCAAAACTGATGCATGCGTATAATTTTGTCCTATAAATAAATTTTATATGGTCACCACATTAGACAAGGACACCGCGACCAAAAAGTATTCTCTTTCGAGACCGATTTCTCGGCATTAGACAGCACTCCAGTTGTAGGTACTTATTAACTCCATGTCCTTACCACAACGAAATCTGACGTTTCGCCAACTGACATTTCTAGCGTTGACGTTGACAGATGACAGATTTGACGTTTCAGTGTGACCACAAAGCGACCTCGTTTCGCGCATTATTCAAGCACACAACGAAACATTAGGCACTTCTTTAGTTGCGTTCTGCACTCGCTGAAGTTATGCGTATTTCATTGTTTTAATATACGATAGTGTAGCGTGAACTCGACGTTGGACTTCCAAATGAAATGGCGGACCGTTCTTAGGTCCATATTTGGGTCCAGAACCTGAAAATTATCATTCGAGAATGTTATTTTTGTGTGTTCGGATGTTGACCACTGACCGAACGCTAAGTATACCTGGGCATTCATTCAGACGGGAGGCACAAAACTGACTTCTTTCTTTTGCCTACCAAATCGAGTCAACATAGAGGCTAATCCAACTACCCATTGTCAGCTAGGCGAGCTTACGTTGTTCAACCTGGGAGAGTTCCTAGCAGGAGCAGCGCTTGGCTCAACCTACCACCGCATGGGAAAAGCGACCGTTATGTCTACGAGTTAGTTTGCAAAAAAAAAAGGTTTCTGGTCGAAGTCCTCGTCGATGAGAACGAATGACCTAGTTAAAACGACAATAACATAAAGCTCATTGCGCAAAAATTACTTTTTACTAATACTCATTGATTTCATGGAATGTCATGTACCATTTTAAATTGACAAACGGGGGAAACGACCTCCTGTCACACCTGGAAGCTACTTCTGGTTTCGTGTAATTGGATCTTTTTTATTTGACCCATCCAGGGGTGAACAAGCTCGCATTTCACCTGGTATTAGTTGGTGAGCTACCTGGTATTAGATACCGATGTACCGATAGATATTGCGCAATACCGAAATCCGTAGAAGAATTGATTGGGACTGACATAGCCAAAGTGATTGCTCGGAGAAAGTGGAAGTGGGCCGGCTTGTATGCAGACGGCACGGCCCACCTGATGGTGAGTGGTTACCGTCACCCATGGACTTCAGCAATGCCAGGGGCAGAGCTAAGCCGCTGCCTACCGCTTAATACTCTCGACAAGCCTCGTTTAAAGAAAGACATGTCATAGCGCTCGGGAAACACCGTGGAGGGGAGCTCATTCCATAGCCGGATGGTACGTGGCAAGAAAGACCTCTGGAAACAACTTACCTGATCGCAACACAGCAGCTCAACTTTTTCCTCAGGGGAGCCATCGTTTCCGCTGTCCTCATTAGCACTCCCCTTTCCGCTTCCCGCACTGGCCCCATTCACATCCCCACCGCCCACTATTTTTTCCACGACATGTTCGGCAATCTTGCGGCATTGTATGAAATCATTGGCAACCAGACGATCCTGCTTGGTAGTCGGTAATGAAAATTTATGTTATTATTTCTCATATTTTTTATGTGACCAGATACTATGCAGAACATTATTAAAATAATATAATATTATGTTCATTTACAAAATTAGAAAAATAATAATATAAAATTGATAAAAAATAGATAAAAAAATATAATTTAAATGAAAATAAAAGTACATTAAAATCATAATATTCAAACCATCTTTATAATTTTCTTTTTTTGGTAATCTGACGCAAATAGAAGGGTTGATGTGTGTATTATAATTTTTTATTTTGAAATATTTGTTAAAGACCCGAGCGGAGTCGGAGCGGCCGCTAGTAATTTATAAAGATACAACTGAGTTCTTTTTTTTTTTTTTTTTTATTGCCTTTGTAGGCAGACGGGCATACGGCCCACCTGATGGTGAGTGGTTACCGTCGCCCATGGACTTCAGCAATGCCAGGGGCAGAGCCAAGCCGCTGCCTACCAAAATTTGGTTCGTTGAACCAATGGATTTATATAATCATAAGATACTTTACAAGTTATCTGATTACGTTATTGGTATGCACAGAAATGAGACATGACTGAATGATAATTAAAATTGAAAAGTATCTAAAAAATATGTTTTCTCTTTACATATTACATAGCATGTTTTTTTTATTGCTTAAATGGGTGGACGAGCTCTCAGCCCACCTGGTGTTAAGTGGTTACTGAAGCCCATAGACGTCTACGACGTAAATGCGCCACCCACCTTGAGATATAAGTTCTAAGGTCTCAGTATAGTTACGACGGCTGCCCCACCCTTCAAACTGAAACGCATTACTGCTTCACGGCAGAAATAGGCAGGGTGGTGGTACCTACCCGTGCGGACTCACAAGAGGTCCTACCACCAGTAGAGTAGTAACTAAGGTTCCTTTTATTTACTTTTAAATGTTAATAACATACCTTCTTCTGTCGATCCTGCTTGCTCTGACAGCTAGAATGTGGGAGTAAATAAAACGGCAGCTTGTTTAGCTTGGGAGCAGCTAATTCTATTGCGACATCCTCAACCCACGAGGGTACCGTCTCTCCGAGCAGGTTTCCTTCAGTCTCACCGCCTGCATCACCTACCTGAAAGTGGAAAAATCACACAATATGGATCACTCTGAGTTGTTGTCTTGTGGGAGTATTAGGGTGATATTGCTTAATAAGAGCAACGGTCCAAATGTTGTTGTTCGGAACTTGTATATATATATATATATATATTTTATTGCTTAGATGGGTGGACGAGCTCACAGCCCACCTGATGTTAAGTGGTTACTGGAGTCCATTGACGTCTACGACGTAAATGCGCCACCCACCTTGAGATATAAGTTCTAAGGACTCAGTATAGTTACAACGGCTGCCCCATCCTTCTAACCGAAAAGCTTTACTGCTTCACGGCAGAAATAGGCAAGGTGGTGGTACCTACCCGCCTGGACTCACAAGAGGTCCTACCACAAGTAATATCTGCAAGCTTATCTTGAAAATGTCGTAAGCGAGATTCAGGCATCTGTCAAATATCTTGCGTTGTATGATGGCTACCTGCTAGTTTTGTGTCAAATGAATCCGATAGCATCATAGAACACCTGTTGTCTCTTTAAATCAGTTAAATGTTATAGAAATCATAGATTGGTGAATAAACTAATGGCTCATTTAGTGTAGAATTAAGCAGTTATCCAAACCTTTAGATATAACAATGTATGTGCCCTTACAAGACCAGAGCTCATAGTCACAACCGCAAGTCACAACAAATTCATATTATTTCCATCTATTCGCTATATCTATGGTGGATTTTTAATTTTTGTAATAAATAATAAATTGACATACCTGTAACCTATATAGTGTTCTTCCTCCGACTTCACTGAAAATAAGAGGAGTGTGTAAAGGTACACTAAAGTAATTGTTTCCGACCACCCTCTGACCCGCCTCATTCACTCGGTTTCGATGGTTCCAATGCTCCAACAGAGCTTGCAGGAGTAAAGCACCGAAGTTAACTTTCTGATCGTTTTCTGAAAATTTGAAAATATGTTTCAGTTTTAATAAAAATATTCTATGATATTTATTGAAAAGAGAGAGGGGATCTCAAAGGGATTTTTAATATGTGTTTATAATTTATCATTAATGTAATGATGTCTTATTTAATCAGAGAAGTCCTTTTAAACTTTGGGAAACATATATGTGCAAGAGATAATCTTTGATTTGATGATCATAGATAAAATAAGCATATAAGCATAAGCATATAAATGCTCTACTTAAAGCTTGTTTCATTCTATTTATAGGTAATAAAAGTGTGTTATCACAATTACGACACACTATATAATATGATTTATTTAAATATTACATCATCTTTTTATAAATCTACTATTTGTTACATATTAGCTATGCAGGAAGATAAGATACATAATACTGTTAGCTAAGTAAAATTAATAAAAAAAATAATTATATAAATATTTGCAGTCCATACTACTGTTTTTACAATTTAAATAATCATATACAATCAACTAACAAAAAGGTTTAAACAAAAATAAATAATAGTTTAAAAAAACTAACAAAATACGCTTTTATAAAAAATCCAAAAAAAAAAATAGAAAATAAATTTTAATAAATTTGAATCAAAAATAGTGTAAGAAAAAATTATTTTATTGTAAAAAAAGCGTGGGGTGCGTGGTATCAATAGTTATAAATATTTTATGAAGGGTTATTTTGATAATATCCTGAAAAGCACCATTTTTAATTGAAATTTATTAAAATTTATTTTCTATTTCTTAGTTGAATTTTCTATAAAAGCGTATGTTGTTACTTTTTTGAACTATTATTTATTTTTAATTTTTTAGTTGAACATCTATTTTATTTATTTATTTATTTTTTAATGTTGATTTGTCATGGGTCCTTAATAAGTATATCAAATTTCGAGTTAATCCGAAGTTTTGAAGGTGGTCAAAATCATGTTCAAAGATTCCGTTACAAACATACATACGTCTGAAGCTAATAAAAGCGTATTAAAAATATTTTCTGTATTGATAATATTTTACTTAGTACTGTAATGGATTATTACCTATAGTCAATCCAGCTTCTTTGGCACTGACCCAAGCGCTCAGGCAATCTGTTTCATCCTGGCCCAGATGTATAGTCAGCATTCCAGTCTTCAAATCAACATTAAACCAATTTGGTACATACACCATCTTGAACCTTTTCTTCACTTCTTCCTCATAGTCTACTTGACCCAAGTCCTCAAGTTTACACGCTTTCAAAACATCAAATAAAGCTATATTATTAGCAGAGTCTTTTGTTATGACATGTCTTTTATCATTCAATACTGTGAAATGCCTTATTGCAGGTCCACCAGGAATGTTATGTAATGGCATTCTTTGATAGACATTATTAGTGTTGTAACTGTTCTGGTCGTATGTCTCTGAAGTCAATGTTGATAATGGCGGTAGTTTCCAGCAACGAACATCTGAATCAGACGTCGACACCCATATTCCTTGCTGGTCAGCTGTAAAGCATAATTTGAGAATGGGACTTGTCTCCTCGCAGACAATCATAAAGTTTTCTGGATTCCGTAGTTCCGTTATAATGACTAGGCGATCGCGGCCTCCAGATATGACATGAGAAAAGGTATCGGTAGCTATTAATGCCCATACCGCCTCTGAGTGGACTCGGATTGTCGAAACACACCTTTGCTGTGACACAGACCACAATTTTATTGTGCCGTCCGAACTTCCTGAGACACATTGAGTTCCATCTCGGCTTACGACCAGTGCTTTAACATTATCACAATGCCCTTTCAACTTCATAAGTCTAGAGCAATTACGAGGGTCCCAAACCCTGAGGACTTTCTCTGTAGAACCACTAACAAGAACTGTGCCTGGTGGATTCATGGCTAAGCTGTATATTGATTCTTTGTTGCCGACGAGACTTGACGTCGTAACTGTGTTATTACTGGCAGTTAATGCAGTCAAAGTGTTCACGTCCCACAGGAAGATAGCTCGGTCTAAGCCAGCACTAGCCACCTGTTCCTTATCTTTAGCGTATGCTAGAGTCCGTACGTAGTCTTTGTGAGTTCGTAAAGTCGACATGCAAAAGCCCTTCGGGGCGTTCCATACCTTTACGGTTGTATCAGAAGATGCACTAATAAGATTTTTACCGCCGCAGCACAGCACTATATCGTTAACCCAATCGGTGTGGTGTTCCATGCTTTGAATGTATCTATCTTGTACGCCTGTCGCAGTGTTCCATACCCTAATAATTCCATCTCTGCCGGCTGAATATAGCCTTCCCTGGACGGGATCGAGCTGCAATGAGCTTACACCGTTTTTATGCTTCCTTTCTTCTTCGTCACGAATAACAAACGACACTTGAGTTTTCTTACGCATCGTGGTACCCATTTTCCGACATTTTAATATGAAAATCAATTGATAATTCCTTGGAAATATTAATATTTCCAACAATCACCGGACTTGTTGCCAAATTGTTTAAGTTGACGTTTGTGTTGACAGTTGACGCTTGATTATGGTCGGCATGTTAAGATGACATGTGTGCTGCGTTTTATTATCGATGAGAGCTTACAAATTAATTTGTTATTTTAATTTAGTATGTATTACCTAATAAAACAAAAATTCATAAAATAATTAAATAATGGTTTATTCTATTGATATAAATTTAAATACCATACCAATTTAAAAACAATACTAATAGACTAATTTAAATTTTATATCGAAACACAACACCAATACGGTTCTGATCCGATGTGTGTTTTATGAAAGAAGGTATATAAATTTCAACTGTATACCTCAAACTAGCGCTTCTTTCACTCTCTAAGTACAGACTAACACTATTAAAACCGATTCCACCTTCTTCCACAGTAACAGAACCCATTTTGTTCGGCGATAAATCTACGCACGCTATCCCAGTAATATTAGTTCCTTCTGGGTATTCAAATGTTAAACTCTCAGAACGTTTGAAAAACAGTAAACCTTGCTTCTTCACTTCCCTGTAAGACATACGGGCACCGAAATCCGAACCCAAATAAAGATCGTAACACAAAACCGACGCACAGCTTGAAGTCAATATAATTATTTTAATGTAAATATTCATGTCTCTTGTGTACATGACGAAACTAGTACAAGCTTAAGATAAAACTGACTTTACCTTGAAAAAGATCGTAAGTAAACATTATGATTTAAGGCCCAGTTTCTACTTCGTAATCATTTGTTTATGTTAAATGATCAATTAACAAATAAACTATAACACACGGGCTAAATAATAAGAGGTTAGTAAGCTTACTACAAATGTAGGACGTTAGAACCGAAGTTACCTTCGTATTCTCCTTGGATTTGGTCTATAAAGGAATGCATAAAATAGATTCGTTACAGCTTTTGGTATTATCTCATAAAGGACCCCCATTTAATTTAGTCCTTATTCATATGTCGTCGTGGCCTAAAGGATAAGACGCCCGTGCATTCGTGTCGAGTGATGCAACGGTGCTCGAATCCCCCAGGCGGGTACCATTTTTTCTAATGAAATACGTATCTAACAATTGTTTACGGTTGACTTTCACGGTGAAGGAATAACATCGGGTAATAAAAATCAAACCCGCAAAATCTATAATTTGCGCAAATATTGGTAGTAAGACGTGTTGTGAGTCCGCACGGGTAGTTACCAGCACCCTGCCTATTTCTGTCGTGAAGCAGTGATGCGTTTCGGTTTGAAGAAATGGGCAGCCGTTGTACTGTTAAAAATGAGGCTTTAGAACTCATGTGTCGAGGTGGGTGGCGGCATTCAGATTCTGATGTCTATGGACTCCATCGCCGCCACCCACCGTGGGACATCAGTTCTAAGTCTCAGTTTTATAGTACTGCGGCTGCTCTACGCCCTATGAAATTGACCCCGAACGGATCTATACAGGGTCCATTCTTTATTTGACGTGAAAGTAGTGTTTGTCGAATCACGTTTAATTAACAATACACTCGAAATAATAACAGCTTTATTTATGCAGCAGTTTTACACGTATAAAGTTATTTTTCATTATCGTCCTTTTTGGCGGTTTTGTTTTGAGTTTATGGCCTGGTATCTAGACTTTTTTGGCGGTAATCATAATAATGTCACAGACTATCTTCCTACTAACATATCGTGCGTTCCGGATCACGCATCATAAAAATGTGCGTTCTTAAACGCCGCACCCTATCCCTATCATCAATAAAATGTTTTGTTGACTCGAACAAATTGATTATTATAAAAAGCTAATGGCTTTGTGACTACTAAAAATACCCCTGCCACATTTAAGTAGAAATACTTCCACTTGGAGGAAGTCGAAAAAGAAAAGGAAAAATGACAGATGACAGTGACAAAAATAAAGGAGCAGAGAAAACACGTCAAAATATTTTTTTAAAAGTGATTGCCACACTTATAGATAAGCATGTTATATTTTGATGATACCAAATACTTGTTTTTAGCTTGTAGTAATTTTCATACATGCATCTGTAAATCGATGATAGACAATCATAATAATAAAATTTTTGGTTGAACTTTAAACTCTATACTTAAATTATAATTTATGTTTAAACGTTAATACGAAAGATAAAATCTAATAGTAATCAGAATTGAAATTATAAAATATGTATTATTAAACAAACTTCACCTTAATAACGAGTAACTGATAATATTCAAATTACGTATTAAATATTGAAGCAATCAATATTGCTTACATATTAATTGCAATGATGTTTTTGTATAAGATTTTTTTTTTATTTACTTCCAAGAATAATACATACTGACAGCGATATAGATTATACAGCAATATTTGGGTTACAGATTTTACTAGAGTAAAGAGGTTAAAGTTTTTAGGAGTTTTTTTTATTTTATTGTTTAGATGTGTGGACCAGCTCACAGCCCGCCTGGTGTTAAGTGGTTGCTGGAGCCCATAGACATTTACAACGTAAATGCGCCACCCACTTTGAGATATAGGAAAAACTTCTTTTAAGGTCTCAGTATAGTTAAAACGGCTGCCCCACCCTTCAAATCGAAACGCGTCATTGCTTCACGGCAGAAATAGGCAGGGCGGTGGTACCTACCCGCGCGGACTCACAAGAGGTCCTACCAACAGTAAAAGTTTTTGTCAGCAGATTAGTCCGGTGGCATTTTAAACTATTTGGAGCTTCGAGATGATACAAACTGTGTGGTAATGCAGCAGCATCATCACCATCAATGTCCTCCACTGCTAGTCACCGGTCTCTTTCTAATGACACCACTGAGGTCAGTCTTTGGGTCTGATCCATTACTCGCCGGTTACCCTTCTCAAGTCATTGCTCCACCTAGCCAGGGCGTCCCACATTGTATTTTTTTTCGCCGGATCTTCTCGGTGGGTCGCGATTCCGATGCGGTGGTAGATTCAGCGAAGGACTGCTATTGTTAGAGTTAAGGTTAAGAAATTTTCTCAGAACGAGTCCGTGAGCTCAGCTACCCATCAGCGAGTAGTTGTAATAGCGCCTTAGGCTACCAGCAAATAGGTAAGGGAAAAAAAAAAAAAAACACTTGAATACCGCACTCGGCGTTTGCTGGTGGTAAACCGTGTACGAGACACTGGTGGTAGGACCTCTTCTGAGTCCGCACGGGTAGGCAGCACCACCCTGCTTATTTCTGTAGTGAAACAGTAATGCGTTTCGGTTTAAAGAATTGGGCAGCTGTTGTACTGTTAAAACTGAGGCTTTAGAACTTATGTGCCGAGGTGGATGGCGGCATTTACGTTGCCGATTACGTCTATGGGTTCCCTTAACGACTTAAGACCAGGTGGGCCGTGAGCTCGTCCACCCATCTAAGCAATAAAAAAAACCTAAATGAAGTTTCTTACAGTATTGGATACACGCCATGGGCTTTATGATTTTAAAAGCCCCAAATCCACAAACAAAACACCCAAAAAATGTATCGCATATTATTAGTTAATGATCGACTTATGTTATGTAAAACTTTTATAGTTTCCGTTTTTTCCTTGTCCACGTATTCAATAAAAGAGCATTTTTATTTTTTATACAAAGAAAATATCCCTTTTCCGATTCAAGAGACTTCTAAGGGACTAAGGTTTCGTGGAGGCTGTGAAAGGTATTCGGCTGCTAAATGTACAAGATTTTTTCGTACTAATGTAGATACTATAAAAGGAAGGGTGTTTCGTACTGAAACAGATTTTTTCTTGTTTCTATATTTTTATTAGTATCGAGTATTAGGTAATGAATATATTACATCTTCAAGACAACACAAGTCTTAATCTAGGCGCAGAAAGGTTCGATCTCGCCTGTAGACGGCCGACTAGCCAACCAGAAACTTGCTGAGCAACCCCTCCAAGCCTACGGGCAGAGATCGCCGTCGCATAGAATACATAACACACACGTTCCGCGGCATGCATTAATTATTACATAAACAAAAATTATCCAACGCAAGTCACGCGTAAACATAGAACCATCGACAATATATTCATCGTGTACCAGTCAAGGGACAGAGGTCCCAGCTCCGGAAACAACGCTGAGCCCAGGGAGCGCGAGGCAGTGGAAGGAAGTTGAATCGGTACCTAAGTCTTCAGGCACTTATTTCGTTCCTTACTGTACAAAGGGTTTTTATTAACTAAATCCAGCTGTCTTTAATCAGTCATATGTTCAATTTGAACGGAGAAGCATTTAGACATTAAAATTGACCTTGAAACCACGTCTCAAGTTTGGTCACGACTCTACTGAAGCGAAGTTCGCAGTAGTTCGAATTAGAAAATTATTTCTCTTTGACCCATCAATATTTAAGCAGTCTGGTGAAACTAAAGATTTTTCTCGAACATGTTCAATTTAGCTTGATTAGTTAAATGTAAAAATAATAAGACAAAGGGCTGTTTCAACAGAAAGCACTCAAATTAAATTCGTTAAAAGCTATTAAGCCGGACAATGAATTAAAATTTCAGTAAAATCCGCGCTGATTTGTTTGTCTGAGTCCTCTAAAGCTAGATGATTATTAAGTCTAAGTTAAAAGTAATTTGCTGTGTTAATTCGAAATTCCATTAAGTTATAAAGTTTTTTTTTTTCGGGCCGGCGGCCGAACCTCCTACTAGGTCCCCGCGCCTAGGGGGCGCGCGGGGTTTGCGGGACTTGACGATCCGCAAGGTGTTGGGAGCAGACCGCGGGCCCAAGGAATTTTAGGGCCCCACCCACTAAACGACTCTGGCCGACGTCCGGGGTCAAAACCCGGTTAGAGTAGGGGGGTTCCCGCGGTCAACACTACAACCAGACACGCGGCGCCACCCCGAGGACGCCCGACCGACGGGTCGTCGGGGCGATAGTCGACGACCAAAGACGTCGGTCTTCGCGGTATTAAGTTATAAACCTACATCAAGGTCTGTATTATAGAAAAGAAGAAGAAATTACCTTAATAATAGATTTTTTTCTGAGCCCATCAACTGACACAGCAAAGCCAGATGGTGAAGAAAGGTCATATCAGGGTATTATCACCGCGTCTGTTACTGTAGAAGCAA